CCGCGACCCTCGGCCATCCGCAAGGTGACGTCACTGCGCGGATTGGGTGGCGAGGTGTGCACGCGTAGGATATTTGGCGCCATCAGCCACGCCTTGGCCGCCCCGCCCTGAAAAACTGAGCCTTGATTAAAACAACGTCAACAGCACGCGGGACGGAAGCGCAGTCACCGCGTGGTCGGAGGGCTGTCATCACAGCCGAGGGAGGAGATCTAAGGGCGGCCCACCTCCAGGCTTGCCACGCGCGCCGCAGCTGCACGGCGCGCGCGTGGCGGTTGATGGTCGCGACCCCCCAGGCCAGCTTCGCCCCCAGCTGCTGCCGGACCGTCGAGAGCGTGGCTATTGAATGGAAAGGCGGCGGGCGGCGCGCAACGTCTTGCTGTGAGCGAGCATGATTGATGGACCTTCCACATTGTCTCGTGACTGGCTGCAGCACAACCGCCACTGAAGCGCGCGTGCGAGCGGACGAGACAGGTATCAACAGCTCAGCAGCTGCGCACCCTCGCGCCGCGCCAGACGCCGCAGCAGCCTGTCCACCTCACGCGCCATCTCATTGCGTAGGGAGTCCATCTGGCGCGCGCGCGTGCGTGCGTGCGTGCATGCGTGCATGCGTGTATGTGTGTGTGCGGTGTGTGTGTGTGTGTGTGTGTGTGTGCGTGCATGCGTGCATGCGTGTATGTGTGTGTGCGTGCGTGCGTGTGTGTGTGTGTGTGTGTGTGTGTGTGTGTGTGTGTGTGTGTCAGGGGCCACGCGCGCAGGCGCGCTGGAGCTCACATGTTTTGATGTGCACGTATGAGTTTGTAATCACACAGGCTAGAGAGCGCGGCGCGCCTCTGACAGCACTCGTCATCCCTCGACAAACCTGCCCTGCGGTGCCCTCCCTCAGCTCCTGCATCTCCCCCAGCAGTTGCGCCACAGCTTCCTCAACCTCCTGGCGGGCCAGCTTCTCGCCGTCCACAAAGGTGAACCTTTATAATAGCATGTGTGCATTCCAATTGCAACTGATTGGCTGCTATTGTTGATAGAAGGGGGCGATTGAAGACCAACCTGAGCACCATCAACCATTCACAGGGGGCTCTGCACAGGGAGGGGGCAGGCGCTCGCACCACATCCCCGCTCCTCGCTCTCCCCCCCAAAAGGCTCACCACTGCTCGAGCACGACGGCCTCCAGGGTGTTCAGGCGTGTCCGCGCGTCGCCGCCGCCGTCCGCACCCGGCGGCGCCGGCAAGCGGCGCGGTGGCGAGGGCACACGGCGGGGGGAGGCCAGGGCGCCCACCCTCACGAGCTGCAGGCGAGGCACAGGGAGGGTAGGGATAAGGGTAACGGATGTTAGGGCTGCCGCAGTGGTTTCAAGGGGCATTTCCCAGCCAGGAAAGCGCCAGACATGCTTGCTGAGCCAACGGTGGCGCTCAATCGACATCAGCCTGCCCCCCTCTTGTACTGCACTCCGTCAACAGGTGCAACCTCACAGGTAAGCCAGCAGCCAAGCACCCTATGTTTTGGCACCGCCACGCACCCACCTCGACCTCCAGCCGCACGTGCGGAAGCTGCCGGCTGCGCAGCTGCACAGCGGCCCGCGCCCACGGCTGCTGCAGGGGGGCGTCGGCCCAGCCGCAGGGGCGCTGTCCCGCCACCTCCTGCCCAGGCCCAGCCGAGGGGTGCACCTCCCACTGCTCGTACACTCCTGTGTCGCAACCGAATCAGGGGAGTGAGCACAGGTGAGCTGTGTGCACTCTGTTCCCTTGCGGGTGCTCATTTTTGCAATCCTAGACCATCCTATTCTTGCTTGCTTGCTTGCGGCTGGTGCGCACTGTTGCCCAGTGCTCCCTTGCTGCTTCGAAGGCGACGGGCCTGCCAACAAACATCCTGGTCCTCTGCCCTGCGCATACGTACCACACACAGGCATGCGCCGCTCATGCAACGCGCATCGAGGCCGCAATTGTCACCCACCGAGGTTATCATTGAAGAACACCAGCCGGCTGCTCCTCGCGAGGCGCCTCGCAAACGCCGCCATGCCCGCCGCGCCGCCCGGGGTCGCCGTGGTGGCCGCCCCTGCGAAGGATGTCGCCTCTGCGCCATCGAGAAACGATGCCTCGCTCGACGCCGACAGCGCGCGCGCCGGCGCCAGCGGGCGCGGCGCCTCCTCCCCGGCGCCGTTCTGCGAGACGGAGGCGGCTTCCGGGTGGCCGTCGCCAGCCGGCTGGCCGGGGGCCAGTGCGGCCCTGCGGCGCGCCTGCAGGAAGCGGCCGGCTGCGGCGGCGCTGCGGAAGCCAATGTGCGGGCCCTGCGACTGCCCTCGCAGGTAGACAACATAAGGGGGAGGGGGCCATGTGCGTCGCCAGCGGCACCGGGCTGGACGAAATCCTTGGTGCAAAAGTGCATGATGTCTTGTCGTGGGTAAATCGCACAGGGTTTTTCTCTCGACTAGCTGCATCATGTGCACCGCAGCTGGGGGACTCAACAGCACAGCAGCCGATGTGGCAAGCAAGCGCACTCACGTGCCGGTGGACCTCCAGCCAGCAGCTGCCCTTTTGGAAGCCGGGCGACGACGCGTCCAGCAGCGTGAACACGTACACGTCTCCCCCGGCGCCCTCGCCCGCCCCCTCGCCGGTGCCGTTGGCGAGAGAGCCCACGGCCGCAGGCTCGGAGCCGGGTGGCAGCCTGACAACCCCATAAGGCTGCCGGCTGGCAGGGTCAATCCAGACAACCAGGTCGCCGGGCTCGAGCCCCGGCCGCAGCCCCGCGCCGCGCGTAAAGCGCGCTGAGACTAGCGGCGCAGCGCCGTCGCGGCCTGGGCCGCTGCATGTGTCAGCCTGATCCATCACGCTCGTCATGCAGCCGACAAGGCTACTGCTTCTGCATCATTTGCAGAGGGTGTGTGAGTAAGGCTATGCAGCGGTCAACCGGGTCAGCGTGCAGCAGCGCCGTGCCGGGGCGCGCTGTTTGCAGCAGAAACCGCTCCGTACACGGGCTGTGCAGCAGGATGGTGGTGAGTTTTCAAGTCACTGCGTATGCATAATAAATACGGACGAATGAACATATCAGACTGCAATGAGGTGTCGTTCGGCTCTGGTTGGTCTCTCGCAGTGCACCTCGCACTTGTGTGTCGACATCTCAAGTGAGTGCCATGAATTGGATCTTTGACAGACAAACAGATTATTTACACACTTACATTGCTGATAAGAAGAACAAAGCTGCATCATTTTGAAGTGTCCACTGATCTGGCCCGAGTATACGCCATTGTGAAATCATTAGAGAGCACAGGGCAGTCCTAGGCCACCATGGCACAGGTGTTAGGCGATCCAGTGGCCGCGCCACCTGGTGACGGGATCTCCAGAGTGCGATTCAGCCCCTCCAGCAGCAACACGCTGCTATCATCGTCATGGGATGGGGTAAGTGTGGGCGGTGCGGTGCTCCATGCGTGCCCACGCAAAGACGCTCGACGACGTGTGTTGTGTGCTGCTGTGATGCACCGCCGCAAACGGCCACATCGCCCCGCTCGCCCCACCCTCCGCACACGCAGACGGCCCGGCTATATGACCCCTCTGGCGCGCCGCGCGGCGTCTACGTGCACCCGGCCCCGCTGCTGGACTGCGCGTTTGAGCGGGAAGGGGGCGCCTTCTACACTGGCGGGCTAGACTGCAGAGTGACCAGGTAGGGCCGCCCCAACCACTCGCCTGCTACGGACCCCCGCTGGCGCGGCCATCCCAGCGCTGCATGCAGATGCATCGAGCCCAGCGCGTCTCATGCAGCGCGCGCATGGCGCTCGCCGGCCGCCATGCGCGCGGCTGGTTGCCCTGCAGCCTCTGGCCGCACCCCCAGCGGCGCACGTCTGACGGGCGCCGGCCCCCAATTTTTCGACCCCGCCCCGAACTGCCAAGGGTCGACGCGACCACCTCGCAGCAGCTCGTGCTAGGCGCGCACGCGGCACCCATAAAGTGCGTCGAGTGGCTCGAGTCTAAGGGGGTGGCAGTCACAGCCAGCTGGGACCTGACGCTGCGGCTGTGGGACCCGCGCTGCGCGCCGGCGGCGGCCAACGTCGGCACCGCCGAGCTGCCCGGCAAGGCGTATACTCTGGGGTTGGGCGGCAGCCGGCTGGTCGTCGGCACGTCGGCGCGGCATGTTTGGATATATGACATAGACAAGTGAGGATGAGCGGGCGGCAGAGGGGGAAGGCGGGAGGGGCGAGCCGGCGGTGAGCTGCGTGGGCCGCATTGTGTGCTGGCGGCGGCAGGCGCGCGTTGCATCGAGCGAGGGCCCCTCCATGCCGGACAGGTTATTGGCATGGCAGCCAACATGAGCAGGGGTTCAGAGGTTTGCGGAACTTGGGAGCGAGCGCGGGCCGTGTCAAGGGAGCTGCCAAGCAGCTGCTCGCGCTCGAAGCAGCTGCGCGCGGCCGCCTGGCCCCCCCACCTCCCCCCCACATGTGGAGCTTGCCGGCCCGCAGCGGGCGCGCAGTCTGCGGCCGCGCGGCGCGGCCGGCGCAGGGCTGGGCGCCTCCCCGCCCCGCCGTCTCCGCCGCCTGCGCCGCCGGCACGTACCCACACAAACGCGCCAACACATGGCCGATTGCTTCGGCCGCCGGCATCGCCCCACGACCGACCCCTTCCGACCAACTATCAATATTATTGCAGGCTAGAGCTAGGGGAGGCCAGCCAAGCGCGGGAAAGCAGGTGCGGGGCGCGGCTTGGCGCATGACGAGGGGGGAGGGGCTGGTTGCCGGGCGGAAGGCGCCTAGTGCGCAGCGAGCAGGGGTGACGGCGGGCATGGGATGGGACGGCTGCCGGCGGGGGACTCACGAGGCCCCCCATGCACCACTCACAATCGTGAGGTGCCTCTTGGCATGGGGCCAGGCTTCAAGCATGTTAGTTCTCTCTGACCATGAGCGCGGCTTGCGCGTCACCCCCGCACCCACCCGCATGCACGTTTGCACTCACACACGTAAAGACACTCACACACACACACATACACACATACACACGCACGAACCACCACATGCGCACACACGCACTCCCTCCCGCCCCAGCCTCAAGTACCAGACGCGGTGCATCGCCGCCCACCCGGGCGGCTACGCGCTGGGCAGCGTTGAGGGGCGGGTGGCTATGGAGTACTTTGACACGTCACCAGAGGCGCAGCGCGCCAAGTACGCGTTCAAGGTACGCGTGTGTGTGTGTGTTTGTGTGTGTGTGTGTTCATGGCTGCGTGTGTGTTCCAGCTTGTGTGCGGGCGTGCATGTGTGTGCATGTATGTGTGTGTGCTTCTCTGATTGTGGGGTGCGTGTCTCTTGTGTTTGTATGTGCACCCTTGCCCCTGTGTGCTGAGCGCATGCCTGCCGCCTCGTTCGCAGCGGCTACGCGGCGCCGTAGCTCGCTCGGCGCCTTAGCCCCCTGCTCCCCGCTCCGCTCGCCCCGCCC